TACTCAATTTCTTAACCCCTGGCCATATCTATTTTAGAAGTCTATTCCTTTAAGCTATCTACAATTACCCATTTTCCTGCTGGGCCCCTGACTGACACTTTTCATTTGTTCTGCAGTAAATTTTACTCAGAATTCCATAATATAAAATAGATAAGAGAGAACTTTCACTAACTGATACAAGTTTGAAAAATGTGGGGCCCCAATTAATTCCTTTTCTTCATCCATTGAGGTAGCCTCTGAAGACCCTAGGGTCTGGAGAAATACACTTTGGAAAAAACATTGGACTGAACCAACCCAAGGAAATGTGAGCCCTGAGCAATGCTCAGATGACACCTGTATACTACACTCTTTACATAACTCATTTGACCACGGAAACACATTTTAGAAGTAAGTGAGAAGACAGCTTTGGATATTACCTGTGTGTCTAGATCCCCTTCTGTGGTATTCCATATACTGTAATACATTTGGTTGCCTATTCAGCTTAGGGGTCCATGGGCTGGTCTTGGTTAACAAACTGACAAGAATGATGACTTGGATTTAAGATTAATTTCATTTTGGTTTACTACTGAATCAGCAAACAGATAATAAAAATATTCACAGGATCAAAAAGATAAATGACCTTGGCATTGCTTTCCTAGTCCTCAAAGTATGTGGCCTTAGAAAACCCATGCAGAATGATAACTTTACCAGATCAGAAAATCCCAACCACTGGGGCTGGCAGGTGGCGTGGTGGTTGAGGGTGCTGGACTCCCACATGGCTGATCTCGGTTCAAGTCCCAGACCTGGCAGCTTGCTTTCTCACTTTCTCTCTCATTCTATCCCTCTATGGTCAAATAAAAATAAATAAATAAATGGATAAAGATAAATAAAATAATTAAAAAAAGAAAAAGAAAATCCAAACCATGAACTTTATGCCTATTATCGGAGGAACTACATGGGCACTCAAGAGTCATACTGTTATTGATGGAAATATTTGTTGTACTACCTCAGCATCATCTGTTTTATACTCCACCAGCTTGAAATTTAAATGCAATAGATTATCATACATATTAAGAGAATTTAAAAAATAAAATAAAGAGCATGTGTGCATGCACATGAAAGAGAGAGTAAAATCACCCTTCACAGGGTCTTATCAAGCTGTGATTTCCCCTTTCCCCAGCCCTATAGCTTGTCGGGACTTAGTGTGTCGGGATCCTCAGGCTGTCCTGGGGCTCTGAACCCATGTCTGTAGCCTCCAGCACTGCAGTCTAGCATGCCATGGGCCAAGAACATCAGTTTCACTAGATCTTAAAATGTAACTGTAAATTTGGAATTTTTCCAATTCTGCTTCTAAAGAAATTCAGTGGAGACCTCATATTTGTCTTGTGGTTACTCAAGTCAGCTGGAGTCTAGGAAAACCAGCAGGGGTTACTAGAAAATGTTTCTCTCACTTGTTTGAAGTCTTTGCCTACCTCCCTATCCTGCCCTCAAGGACTGACAGAAACACAGAATGATACTAAGTTATAATTAGTGCATTGATACTAATATATTCTTTTAAAAAGTGAACAATTCAGTTAAGGATACAGTGCTGAACAGGAGATAAGCTCCTCCCCATTCAGAGAACTGACATTCTTGTTGGGGAGACATAAATAGACAAACTAGAAAAAGCAGCTTCTCTGCTATTCAGATAATTTGAATGAGTGCTGTGATAGAGATTGGAGGAACTTTAGGTGAGATGGTCCTTGAAGATCTCTTTGAGGAGGTGACTTTACAGGTGCAATCTGAATGTCACAGAATTAATTACAAGATCTAAGGGGAGAGTATTTCCTAAATAGAAAATGGTCGTATAAGAGCAAAAATAGGTTTTGTACAGTTGAGAAATAAAAGTCCAGTGTGACTAGGGCATAGTGAGCAAGAAGAAGGTGTTATAAATAGAAGGCAGAGAAGCAGGCAGGCTAGATGAGCAGGGTGTATAAGCCAAGTAAGATACTCAGATTTTATTGAGATTGTCATGGAAAGTGACAATCAAGGAAGACAGTGGCATTATTTGATTTGCATTTAAAAAAGTTGTTCCTAGCTGCTGTGACATGGATGGATTATAGGGAAGCCAAAGTAAAAGCTAGGAGAACAACTAGGAAATCATAATAGCAGTCTGGACAGCAGATGAAAGAGCTAGGAACCAGAATTAGAACGGCAAGAAAGGATATGTTTTGGAGGTAGTCTAGGACTTCCTGATGGTTTGTTTGGAGGGAAAGTGGTGAGGCAAAGAGAGAAATCAAAGATAACTTCAAGATTTTTGGTTTGAATCAACTAAATACTTGGTAGCGGTAAATACTGAGAAAGGAAAACTATCAAAAAAGTTTTGAAGATAAAAATGAAAGTTCTTTGTTTTCCCATGTTGTTTGAGATGCTCGTTACTCATCTAGGAAGAAACATGAAGTAGATGGTTTGTTATATAAGTCTGAAAATCTGGGGAGAGGTCAAGGCTAGAAGTATAGATTTGGGAATCTTGGTCAAATAGATAAAATTTAAAGTCAGGAGACTGGTTGAGATCACTTCTAAGTTATTTTACATAGGTAAAAGCAAGGGCCATAGAACAGAGTAGGGAGCACTCTAAAAGATATAGAGAAGTCATCAAAGAAGTCAGAAAGAAGGGTCATTAGGAGAAAAACAGAAAGTGTAGCGTTAAGGAAGCCAAGAGAATAAAGTAACTGAAGGAGAGAGGGGTTGGCTATTTTGAATGTGGGAGAACCAAATAAATTCAAAACAATGTAAGTTGTCATTGGATCAGGAAACACATAGACCACCATCATCAGTGATTCTAATGAGCCACCTTGTTAGAGTGAGAGGGATGGAGGGCTTGATTGGAGTGGGTTGAGAAGAAAATGTAAGGTAAGAGAGTGTAACTTATAGACATGCAAGTCATTTTGGAGCTCTAGAGAATGAAGATAGCTGGAAAATGTAACAGGAATGCTGCTGACAGTGTGGAGTGCCTAGGGTCTCTGGCTGTTCATGTAAAAAAAAAAAATCCAAAAATCTGGGGCTAGCAGGTGACATAGTGGTTGAGAAACTGGATTCCCATGTGGTCTACTGCAGTTCAAGTCCTGGACTGGTGGCTTGAAACTCATGCTGGGTGTGAGTGCCCAAAATCCCAAGAGAAGAGTGGAGGAGAGGTAGATTGCAGTGTGGTCAATCCCCCTGGAGGGTGATTTCTCACTTTCTGTCTCTCTGCCTCTCTCTCTGGTAAGTGCATGCACCCTATAGCAAAATGAATCTCTCTCTCTCTCAAGAAAAAAATCCCCAAACACCAGTTAAGTGTTATTTATCCTTGGTGACATACCAGGAGCTACACAGGAATATGTGGACAGTTAAGTTTTACTAGGGTTTGGGACCTGTTAGATGAAAACAATGGAGGGGGGAGAGAGATGGAGAGGTTAATTAAACATACTTGCAGGTGGAGGCATGGACTTAAGAGTTGGGTTTTGGGGACCAGCAGTTGGCAAAATGGCTATGTTGCTGGACTCCCATGTAGTCAACTGCAGTTTGAGTCCCGGACCTGGTGGCTTAAACTCACACTGGGTGCCTGTGCGTGCAGGTCCAAGATCCCAAGAGGAGAATGGAGGAGAAGGGATTTCGGCATGGCCAACCCCTCTGGGGGGATGATTTCTCACTTTATGTCTCTCTGTCTCTCTCTGTCTTTCTGGCAAGCGCACATGCCCTGTAGCAAAATCCTCCCCCCACCCCCGCAAAAAAAAAAAAAAAAAGAAAGAAAAGGGTTGGAAAGAGTTGGGTTTTGATGGAAATGAGTACACTAGGGAAATGGCTGATAGTAAGAAAGTAAAGAGGGGTCAATGGATTGGAGATCTTCATGGGGGTAAAAGAAATGATGGTATGGGAATAGTAATGAGACAGAGATGAATGAATAGGGATTAGTGGTCAGAAAGGGTAAGCAAAATTGTTATGTGTAGGAAGCTGCTAGATTACTGAAGGTATTCTTACATGATTATATCTCACCCACTGCTTATTTTCTTTTGGTGTAATTATGTTCTCTAGTGTATTATTCCAGTTACTGAGTTACTGCAACTTGCAGGGGAGTATACAGAGTTTTGAGTAACCTATCCAGCTAAACAGTAGAAGACAGCATATTATATCAAAGATTCTACAGGAGAATTCCAGTTTAAGAAAGCTTTGACATTTGACATTAACAAGTAGTCATAAACTAAATTGATTTTTTAAAAATAAAGAGAAAAAAATGTCACTTTTGTCAGTCTATGTCACTGATAATATTTCCTATATTGTCTGAAAATAAAGCACCTTGAGTTTAGAAAGATAGAAAAGTATGTGCTTTCTAAGAGCATTATCAATAGTGATTGACTATGTATTAGTTTTAGGCATTGTTGTTCCAATGCATCACATACAGAATAAAAAATGTTTGAGATAGAAATATTACATAATATATAATACTTTACAAAACACCTTCACATTCATTAACTCATCTGAAAACAATACTAACTTCCTAGGAGCAATATTAATTAGCAAGGCAGGGTGGTGGTTAAGGTGCTGGACTCCCACAGGGTTGACCACAGTCAGAGTCCCAGAACTGGCAACTTGAAAACCACAGGAGGCAAGAGTGTGTCCAAAACCCCCAGAGGAGAATGGAGAAGGGTTTGTGACCAACCCTCTGGGGAATGATTTATTACTTTTTCTTTCTCTATGGAGCCCTTGGCCTTATAGCAAAAGCAAAAGGAAAAAAAAAAAAAAAGAAAAGAAGAAATAATATTAACTTGCTGTACCTTTTCAAAAGAGCTGGAAGTACTTTCCCATAAGCACTTCATTAATTGTTTGGTAGACTTCAAGGTTTATTCCCACCCTCTAAAGTTAGTTCCAATATTCTCTCTCCTTCTCTATTTAATATTAAAGATTTCTCTTTTCTTCCCAGGGTGAGCCTCTGTCTTCTGAATACTGGCAAAATGATAGGATGTGGAAGCTGTGATTTTTGAGTTTAAATAATGACATTGTACCTGGAAGTCAGTTCCAAGTCCACATCTTGTTTGGCACATTTATCTGTGATCTCATTCTTTTTCTTAGCCTATAAAACAGAGGCATTAATGTCGGTTTACTTCATGTATCTATTATCAGAATAGACTTTAAAATTACTTAGATTAGGCCACATATGGACTTAGAAAGTGTAACATGTTAAAACCATCCCATTAAATATTGTTATGGTCCAAAACAGATAAACTTCTTTTTTTTTTTTTTTTTGGTTTTTTCGCTATAGGGCGCGTGCGCTCGCCAGAAAGACAGAGAGACACATAGAGACAGAAAGCGAGAAATCACCCCCCAGGGGGGATGGTCACGCCCCAATCCCTTCTCCTCCATTCTCCTCTCGGGATCTTGGGCACGTACGCACACGCGCCCGGCGTGAGTTTTAAGCCACCGGGTCCGGGACGCGAACCGCGGTTGACTACGTGGGAGTCCAGCGACATAGCCATTACGCTAACTGCTGGTTCCCAAAACAGATAAACTTCTCTTGCCAACTTGAATTCCAGTTTTTTTTCCCTGCCCTTATTTCTTATTACATTTTTTTTTTTTAAACTGAAATTAGAAGCAGGAAGGAAGCATGGCAAGGAAACCAGGTTGGAAAAGGGGAGGGAAGCCCAGTAGACCAGTGAGCCAACCACTCTCTAGTCTGTTCATCCCAGGGGCTTAGCCGTCTAGTCAGCGTCTCCAGCAGAAACGAGGATTCAGCTCAGGCTGGAGCCTTGTCCGGAGCGAAAAGCAGTCACGAGCAGGGTCACACACACAAGATTTATAATAGTCTGCGTGGCCTTCACAGGTAATAGCCGATACCACTCTCTTCCCACCTGGGCTAGGGACATCCCCAGGTCAAGCCCCTTAAGGCAGCTCGGCGCGCGGGCGCGGTCCTCTGACGGAGTGCCGGGGCGGCTTCAGCTTGCCGGGCTCGCCGGAAGGAGCAGCCTCCCCAGCGTCTTGCCGC